TCTTTGTCTCTCTCTCTCTGTCTTCCAAAGTATGTTTCAAAAAGTTTCCTAAAAAAAAAAAAGGGTGTTAAACATTATGAAAGACCCAACATGACTTCAACTGAAGCTCTTCCCCTCCCCTCCCCTCCCCTCCCCAACCCCTAAAGAAAACCCAAGAGGAACTATCTGCCTATTCAGACCTGATATATGCACTCACTGCCACTCAACTGCCCATTAGATGCTATTTCAGAGAACATAAAAAAAAAAAAAAAAAACACATAGAAAGAAAAGGAGGAAGTCTTCAATAGACACCAAAGACTAGCAGACGAAGAAGGCTCGCCTTATGCCTTAGGGCATATGTCCCTTAATTAAGGTGGACGCCCACGACAGCAAGATGATGACAATGAATGGCCTGCGCCTCCCTTCCCAGCTTGGAAAAAGTAAAACAAAAATTAGAAACCTAAGGCAACGTGCTGATCCAACAAAAAAACAATCACCCCCCTCCTCTCCCCCCCCCCCCCCCCCCCCCCCCCCCCCAAAAAAAAAAAAAAAAAAAAAAAATAAAATATAAAACTCATGCTGTTTCCCCAAAAAAAAAAACCCCCCCCCCCCCCCCCCCCCCCCCCCCCACCACCACCACCAAAAAATAAAAACAAAAAAAAATCACACAGTGGACCCGGTTTGCAGCCTCGTAATGAAAACTGAGGTTGCATTATTATAATTAAAAAAAAAAAAAAAACACTGGAAAAAGGCATTTGGAGCAGGTGATTCAAAACTTGAGAAGCAGACAAGCAATTCGAATAATTCCCTTCGAATGGGGCACGAATATTACCCCGCCCCGCTCACAACTACCGCAGTACTCAAGACCTGATGCAGGCAGGACTCCTAATCACACTTACACCGCCAGTACACCGCCCAGTACAGGCCAGCCTGAGAATCGAAAATACTGCAAGTCGTCTGAAAGTTCGGATGAACTATCATATGCAACTTGACCAAAATGGCTGGGGCAGAGTGGTGCGTTTCGCTCGAAATTAAAAAAAAAAAAAAAAAAAAAAAAAAAAAAAAAAAAAGGCTGGGGGCGCCGCCAGCCAAAAGAGAAAAACAAAAACGCCGCGCTGGCCTTCTGGCAAAGCTTGGCACACACAGGGGATTCCGGCCTCTAGTACAAAAGAGGCTCTCCTATCTCACAGTTTACATAGAATCAGCAGACGTTCATCATCATCATCATCATCATCATCAGCTTGTTCGGTTCTGTCAGTCGGGGTAGACTGTGAGGACCCCAGTCTCAATATTCTTATTGGTGATATCAGCCTTGGGCACTGGGCCCGGTTAATTTAAAAAAAGAAAAAAAAAAGAAAAAAAAAAAGAAGAAAAAAGGCTCTCGAATGTACTGGTGGTTTAACAAACACCACAAGACAATGCGTAGAAGGACAGATACGAATCATGATCGCTGGCTGACCTTTGAGGCTGGGGTTCGATCAGACCATGCCGAATCAGATCTGGCTGTATGAGAGGCTTGGAGCTTTCATCCTGGCAGACACCTGCTGCTGCTGCTGCTGCTGCTGCTGTTGATGCTGGGTACCAATCAACCAACCAACCACCTCTCCCAGAGAACGGGACACAGATCCGTACGCCGCAAAATAGCTCTGGAGAGCGCAATCAGACACGCCCGTCTCACATATCCTGAAAAAAACAGGGAGGGAGAGCCCCCCCTCACAGAGGTTGAGTAATGCCCCTCTCAGGCTCTCGCACATTTTGAGCAATGCCCCTCCCTCTCTTGCCACCTCTCACACATCCTCAGTCATTCCCTCCTGACAATCTCTCTCACTGGGCAGGATGGATGGAGTCAGAAACGTTGTCCTCATTCCAAGTCCCTCTGTCTCCAATACCATCTCGTCCCCCACGGCGCCTCTCTTTCTGTTAGCACCACCACGGCTGCGAACTGGCAGTCCTTTCGCAAATGCTGCAAACTCTCACTGCATTGACAGTTGTACGCTGTTCGCTGGGGGGATTCGTATTCTACTGTTCACAATTTTACAATTACCCTCCTGTTTAGGAGGGTATGAAGATGGAGGATGGAGGATGGACGGTCGTGGAGGTGGAGGTGGAGATGAAGGATTGTGTACAAGGAGATATAGGATGGAGGATGGACGGTTGTGGAGGTGGAGGTGGAGATGAAGGATTGTGTACAAGGAGATGTAGGATGGAGGATGGATGGTCGTGGAGGTGGAGGTGGAGGTGGAGGTGGATGTGGAGGTGGAGGTGGAGGTGAAGGATGGAGGATGGGGGATGGTGGACAAGGAGATGGAGGATGGAGGATGGAGGATGGAGGATGGCGGATGGAGGGTCGTGGAGGTGGAGAACGGAGGATGGAGGGTCGTGGAGGTGGAGGATGGAGGATGGAGGATGGTGAGGATGGAGGATGGAGGATGGTGGATGGAGGATGGAGGATGGTGAGGATGGAGGATGGTGAGGATGGAGGATGGAGGTGGAGAGGGAGGAGGGAGGATGGAGGGTGGTGGACATGACGGATGGTATCGACGGCAGTTAACACCATCAGTAAGAAACCTCCATCAACTCTGCCAGTCATATAACAAATAATTGAAACGGCTGAAAATGGTGTCTGGAAACTGAAACATAATGACTGCAACTCTGTTGGACCTCTCTCTCTCTCTCTCTCTCTCTCTCTCTCTCTCTCTCTCTCTCTCTCTCTCT